TAACCTTCAATAAATAAATATTTATTCAGTGCATACATATAGCAAAATGTGTAAGGTCTTGAATATTAGAAGTTAATAAAATAAACATGTCCAATTCTCCACAGGACCTTGCCCAATATTTTCAATCACCACCAGTTAATATACACGGCGTGTACCCCACACCTTAATCCGCACACACCAGATTGAGTGTGACCTTGTATGTTATACTAAGGTCATTAGCGCATATATTTCCCAGAGCTAGTTTCCTCCCGCAGATTTGGTCACAGATTCCGCAGGTACCGCCTAAACGCACAGGTTAAAGGAATTCCATAGCCTAATGTCATCAAAAAAGATTTCACACCACCCTGTAAATTCTTCTCTGTGCGTCTTCCAGCTTATATGCCACTTGAAAGCTCCAGCATACGAAACACAGAGGGATGCTCGATGGGTAAAAATGTTTATTAAAAATCAACATATAAATCTAAATTGCACTTACATCCAACTACATACAAGCAAGCATTGCAGAAAGCAATCCACATCCAAAATCGGTCATTGGACTCAACTCGACACGTTTCGTCAGTATTGACTTTATCAAGAGTGGTGCCAGCTGACATTGAAAGTAGTATTTAAATATAATAATAAATGTTAACTGGTGGTGCTTGCAGATAATGAGCAAGGTCCTGTGGAGAATTGGACACATTTATTGAATTCACTTCTAATATTTCAAGAGTTTACACAGTTTGCTATATGTATTCACTGTATAAATATTTGTTAATTGAAGATTAGGCATTATTGGATTTTGAGATATGTATAAGATGTGATTTAGCACATATGACACGTTTGTTTTAAGCACTGCATGTGAAATGTGTAACATAAAAAAAACCTAGTAGAGACCCTAAGCCCTCGTTCACACCTGAACGTTTTGTAGCGCGTTCTACGCTCGACGAACGCTCTACAAAAACGCTAAAAAATATAAATCCCATTGTATTCAATGGTCTCGTTCCCACCTTGGCGTATTTCCACCCGTCCCTAACGCGCTACAAAACGGCCCACGCCTGAAAAGCTACATGTACTACTTTGGGCCGTTTTGTTGCGCGTTTCCATTGGGATACAGCCAAGTAGCCTTCGGAAACGCGCGCCGGTCGCACAACTTTTTTACTGCGAATCGCTGTAAAAAAACGTGCGACAGACGCGCATATGAAATACGCCTAGGTGTGAACGAGACCTAACCCTTCCCTGCTCTATCCAAGACAAAATAAAGAGTTTTGCTTGGAGGCCAGCATCACAGATGTTTTAAATTAGTACCAGGGTCACTATCTAATTTTACTTACTCAATGGATGCAGTATTGTAGTTGGTTTTGCCTGAGAAGTACAACATCCAGAAAGGGTTGCATCTCAAACAGTAATGCAAAGTTGTTATTGGGAATGCCGTTTTCTCATCATAAAGGCCTCATGCAGATGGGTTTTTGTTTGCATCTGAGCTGAATTGTTTAAAAATACAAAGCAATGTAAGTGTAAGGCCTCATTCACACTGCCGCACGTATGCACGCGTATTGTACCATATGCAACCTATGCAAATAAATGGCTCCATACACACAGCCGCGTATAGAGCCGTATATTTGCGTAGCGTATATATGCGCAAAAACAGAATGGAACAGAGATGCGTCCGGGCAGCGTATTTCTGCGTATTTACGCGCATGTACGCATGTATTTCGCGCGTACAGCACATTAAAAATTCCATTACGAGTGATGCATTCTGGGATTGCATATAGTGCATGCATATACGCGCATAGACGCAATATACAATTTTGCTTGCGCTGTGTGTGAATGAGGCCTAAAAGCAAAGTGAAGCAGCTCAAAAGCAGCAAATGCAACTGAGTGAAAGGGCAACTGTATCTTAAACCAAGATCTGTGTGTCAAAATAGCTTGTGAAACATTTACCTGCAACCCCCTAACACCTTCAGTGTCTTATATGGTGGAAGAACTGGAGTTTATAGATGTGCAGAGATAACAGTCCTTAAAATCATGTTTCATAATAAAACATATCCAGCATTTGTAACTTACTGTCCTTGTCCTTTTGGAAGACCGAGAACTTCATAAGCATCTTCTATTGACATGGTTGGAGGTTTTTTCTCTACTTCTTTTTTCCATGAATCCAAGGTGTCTTTTAGCAGTTGCACCTTTGGAGAAATCCAAACAACATTCTTGCCATTAGTGCCATTTTTAGTACTAAAAGAACAATACAAGACAGATAAGAACAGAAAACAAAAACGGATTAGGTAGACATGACTTACAGGATCTTTGATGGGCCAGTTAGGAAACCTGAGCGTGTCACAGAAATGTTTCAGGTAGTATATGTTGCAGAACAATTCATTCTCCAGTTGAGGGTAGTTGATCACTGGAATGGGGCAATACTGATAAAGTGCTCTTGTGTTACTCTGAAGGCGAGGGCTGAAGTCAGCTAAATGGGCAGCAATTTTCTCAATCATGAGACGTCTGAAAATAGTCAACAGGTAAAAACATAAATAAGTGAACCATGGAGTACCTAAACTGACGTTAAAGTTAGAGTTTTCAGTTAAAAATGTACATATAATAAACATGGCTAAGTAAAGTCCCTAAAACATGAAAACAAGTACTAAACGTTACTGAAAATGGTGCAGACCTCATCTCACTGCTCCATATAGCCTCCGGAGTATCAAATTCTCCAAGAAATATTTCGGAAAATTTATCAGACTCGTAATTTTCCAGATAGCACACCATAGCTTCAGGAAGAATGTGGCCAAGTATACTCCGCTGAAATATATCAGGCCCCTTGCTCTGTAAGAAAAATAATAATTTTAGTAGTGGAAAAAATTTGAATTACAAAAAGTATGCTTTACTAAGAGCTAGGGATGCACTAATAAAGTTTTTTCTATATCGAGTACCGCTATTTTTTTTTTTTTTGGTACTCGCCGACAGAGTACCGTTACCCCGAATTATCAGGAAGACGGGCGGCGGACCATGACCCATCGCCTGGCTTCCTGATTGCCTGAGAAGCCAGTGTTCTATCGAAAAAACACTGGCTCCAGCTGCCGAGGCTGCCTGGCTTCCTGACCAATCAGGAAGCCAGGCGGAGGGTCATAAGGTGCCTTCCAGCTTCCTGATCGGTCAGGAAGCCAGGCTGCCTAGCAACAAGTGAAGTCAGCTTCCTTGCCAATCAGGAAGCCGTGCAGTATGTCATGACCCACCTCTCTGATTGGCTATGAAGCTTCCTGACTCTATAAGAAACCAGGCTGCCTAGCAACAAGTGAAGCTGGCTTTCTAGCAAATCACAAAGCCAGGAGGCGGATCATAACCCACCGCCCGGCTTTCTGACTGGAAAGGAAGCCGTCTCCATCGTCACTGAAGTTCCAGTATCGGAAGTATCGGAGCATTTGGGCGATCACGAGTTACTAGTATCAGTGCATCCCTACTAAGAGCCCATCTTTAGCTATAAACCTTAAAAAAATCTGACCGCTTTAGGTATCATATGGCGATAGCTTGGTCTGTTGGCCTCCTGAAACTTCGTGGTTTGAGAGGGACCAATGATTTCATATTTTACCCACAGCAATACCTTCAGATGAAGTCTGATTTGCAGCATTACCAATGAGTTATGAAGGTTACCACTGTATTTGAACAAACAGGCAGTGCACAAGGTCAACAGAGTTAGAAAGAAGTAGCCAGAAGTACTTGGAGGTCCCTCTCCAAATTCAACTGCTTAACCTAAAGCTGCACTTCAAACACAAAGCTGAATACACAATTGACCTACATATGTTTGCAATGTCCTACCTGCTAAATGATTTACAATTCTCTGTAATAGTGTTTGAGCCTGGCACCCCCACCAAACAGCACAGTAAGGCCCTGCACTCGCTGGACCTCTCTCCAGGCTACATTGCAGGTAAGTAATACAGCTTGGTCTAAGACCTGCCCCAGCTTGTGATTGGACAATGAAAGAGCAACAGCACAAGGAAGCTTCCCGTGTTCTACGGACGAGACTGTTCTCAACAATCTTTTGATTTCAACATGATCATGGTATAACATACATAGAGATGTCCACACTTTTATTCAACAAATTTAGTAGCGGGTGGGAAAACTGTGCTCGCGGGGGAGTTTAAATAATGTCCTTTTAGTACAAATTTCCCAACTCTGTTTCCATAAATAATACCTACCTCTTCTGATCTGAAGGCTTGCTTTGTGTGAGTGTACTTCAGAAACCTTCATAAAAAAAGGAATGAATAAATAATTAATTACATATCGGCATGCATTAGAGTGCAATTTTCTAAATATTTTAGCAAAATACACTAATTTGTGGAAATCTAAAAATACATATACAAGGAACAACAGTTAGTAAACTACTCAAAATGAACATGTTTAAGCCTAGCTATCATCTGTTTATAACACATCTGGAGACTGTGGACAGGTATAGATTTCTTCAAAATTCCTACTATTATTTGGTTGAAAAGCAAATTGTGACATGAGATAAATAGAAAATGCAAAAAAAGGCTGAATATACACTTTAAATGATTAAAAAGTTAACAGAAATGGTGGGACCATGTAGTAATACTATTGTAGGAAGAAAAAAGGTGAAACTCTTCCATAATTCCAGTGTCCTTACTATGATATATGATATACAGTATACATGTTTAGAAATTAGCTTGCTATTAAAAGGCATTAGGGACTACAATTGCACTACATACATTATAACAGTAACAACAGCACAGACCACTGGACTTCATTTGTATCCAAAATATAACTTTAGGGTAGACTGGCTCTCTAAAAACAAGATGATAAAATATTTTCCTATAAAAGTGGCACAATATTAATGAATATTAAAAAGACCAAATACAAAAGTGATTGTCAGTTGGCAACCTAAAATAATTACATCTGTATAAATACAAATGAGATCATTAATCAAATCTAGTCGTCAACATACTCTCTAGGTGGAATAGTTTTTCTTCTAATCAATGTGGTTTAAAATAATACAATTTTATTGTTTTACAATTTCAATTGTGTCCTAACACAAGCGAGCTTACTATACAATGTAAAGTTAGATAGTTATGTTGAATATTTCTGCGCTGCTGGAATGGCACGTGCAAACAAATAACCATCATTCTTCAGTTGCAATGTTTTGCAGTGGTGTATCCTTACATGTTCACTCTACCAAGCCATACAGATAAAAAGTTATATACAGTAAATAAACAGTGCTTTACCTGTGGTTTGGCCTAGATGGATGCTGCTTACCTGGCTATTGGAAGCACATTGGAGCCAGTGTACATCATTATGAAGAAGAACACTCCGGTGAGATAGAAACGAGGCAGTTGGGGATTGTCTTGCATGATGTGATAGAGCAAAATGGAAACCTTCTCCACCAGGATGGGGTCAAATGTCAGCAAAAGCTATAAGCGAAATAAAAAGAAAATTCAATTCAGCTGAGGCAGAAGATTCCACACATCCATCCCCAGAAAACAAAAAAAAAAGTAACCGACATTGACAATGTAGGATAGCGATTTATCACAGCCCAAAACAGCAAGTGAGCTGGTGAAGGCTGTTCTCATGGTACGATCCAAAGCTGAAATATTACTGACCTGTGTGATGTGAGGAAGGCAGGTATTGTCAGTCAGCAGTCTTTTCACCTTCGGTAAAGGTCTAATAATGGCATTGTCTTGATCACTGAAACACAAATATAAACCCATGAAATTTAAAAAAATCCCAGTCGTGGACCTGGAAACAAGTACACAGATCAGGAATTCTGAATTGACTCAAGCATTGAGGTTAGGGCTATACATCAATTAAATCTCTTTCCTATGGAGAGATTTCATTATTTGTCAGGCGTGTGATAGGGAAAGGTGTACTGAATACGAGTGTTTAGCACAGCTTCAGCTTTGTACTGCGCTTTGTCCTTTATGTCGCTTTTGTGTGCACATAGGATTGGTCAACATCATTGGGTTCCTAATGCTCAGCATGCAAAGCATATTAGCTTCATATAAGTAATCAAAACAGCCTTGAAACCCAACAGCTTTAAAATGCCTATTAAGGCCCCATTCACACTGAGCGATTTGCAAATCGCGCTTTTGTCGCAAACTAGAATCGCGGCAAAATCCGCTCCAAAAAGGGTCCTGCGGTAGCGACGCACGACCGAGACGGACAGAGCCCCATTGCCATGCATTGGAGAGCGATATCTCGCGGTAATTATCCGCGATACCGCGCGATAAATCGCTCAGTGTGAATGGGGCCTAAGGATTTTTCTTTGTTAAATGGTAATGCAAACTTTACACAGAACAAAATTAAACATTCTGCACAATAGGGCATTAACTGCAGCAGCTTACCGGCTGGGAAAGTATGAACACATAGTGATAAGCATATTTAAAATCAAAGTGGCCAAATCAGTTTCATTTAGGGCAGCTTGACCGCTTGCCAGCAAACACCATTTCAGCTGGGGGATGACTTGCAGAGGTCTCCAACCATCCATTCCCTGGGCCCAGCAGCGCGTTTTTGCGTTTAGTACTCCGTTGTTCCAGAATTCTTGCATCTATCAAAAATAAGGCTGCATTATTCTTGCTGCACAAATTAATGGTATTATAAAAAGGAACTACAAGGGGCAACCCATTAAATGTTCACATGTTCAAATCCCGGTCAGGACACTATCTGTAAGGCGTTTGCAAGTTCTGCCTGTGCTTGTGTGGGTTTCCTCCGAGTACCCTGGTTTCCTCCCACATTGCTGGTAGGTTAATTGGCTCCTGTCTAAAATTACCCCGGTGTGCATGGGAGACAGGGACCTTAGATTGTTCCTCGATAGGCAGGGACTGGCATAAATAGGCAACTATGTGAAGCGTTGCGTACATTTTTGGCGCTATATAAAACAACAACGATAATTTACAACCATGCAGATTGTTTCCCGAGGATGGTGATAGACAGCTATTCCTTTCCCTTCATCTGGCTTCCATCACCCCTGAATGCTGAAATGCGACAGCTTTATTCCCTCAATTTTTTAAGTCATCACAAAGTTATTATCCAAGAACGATCATTCTAACTTACCTCAACAAAACTGTAAGGGCCACTTCTTTCCTTATCTGCATTGCCAAAATACCATTCCTTCTCGCTCTCTCTCTTCATATCAGGAGCTGCTTCAATAACGTTGCTCTGAAAAAAATAAAATGCCATTTTATTGTTAGTGATTAACATTAGCCATTCACTGCAGGGGAATTAATTACTAATTTAGAACACAAATACCAGAAAGCTATATGTGCTGTGAATGTTTGGTGAATGTCACATTCACTGCCTTAGAAATATGGCTCTTAGTGTTTTCATTTTCAGATTTAGGCTAGTCTAAGCCAGTGGTGCTTAACCTTTTCAAGATTAAGTCCCCTTTTTAAACAAAATGTAAAAGATTTTCCTCAGACTCGCTACTTTATATGTACACAGTTGTCATGATCTGGGGAATGGGGCACGTGGGCTTCAGGTCTTGCGGAGCGGGTCAGTCAGGCTGAAGTGATGCTGCTCATAGGAAAGAAACTTGGGGACTAAGTCTGTGCGTTATCGAGGACGCACTAGAGGCGCACAATCTAAGAAATGCCAGGTTTTCCACAGAGCCTCTAATGGTGAGTATGATTGGCTGCTGGTGTATAGAGCCAAAATCTTTAAGCCCTGCTCTCCTGCAGTGACTTTGACAGCTGTCAATGGAATCTGCAGTGACTCTCTATGATGAAAGCACACGACCACAGGGCATACTTAATGTTACCACAGGTCAGCAGACAAAAAAAAAACACAATATTTTTGGTCTGCTTGTCCACAGACCTTTGCTGATGTGGCTTTCTGAGATCCCGAGTACTTGTTTATTGTCATTAAAAGTCATTATCTACATGAACCCCCATAAACACGAGAATACATTTTAGTGTAAACAAGGTAAGGGCTACAGAAAAATATTTAGAACATTATAGTTAGTCTGCTTACCTGAAGAGGAACTGTGGCTCTGCTGGTGTGAAGATGTGCCAAGGTGAGGAGATCAACCAGGATCCTGACTCCATTGGAGTCCAACACATCTTTCACATTTTTCTAGAAGTAAAACAAAAGATCAGGGAAAGTTTTCATCTTGCATACTATTTTCTAATAGTAGCAACATCTGTAGCATTAGTGTGATCTGTTATTCCAAAAACCCAAGCCTGTGGATAGCAGTCAGTACATAATTTCCACTGGCCTGCGATAACCCAGTCACAGATCGAAATTACTTGTATGTAGAAGGCATTTTTTTTCTTTGATCACTGGTTTTGTATTTGACCTTTTTTCCATATGGTAATTATTGCATATGATTAAGAAGTACATTTGCAGATTACTATGGGCGAAGTCTGGTGACTGGGGCATTCTCTGGCTTCTTGTATAACTTGGATATTCTAACAGTGAGATCTCCAAGCCATCATTTTTGTATCTGTCCATCATTTTTGTATCTGTCCTTGTCCGCATGTTACAGACCACCTTTGTGTGTTCCACCTCCTCTTGCATTTTATAAAATACAATAATTCAACAAAAAAATGTGGGACCTTACCAACAAATTCCTTTGAGAGACTGAAACTACTTGACATTTTCTTCGGTCGCCAAAAAACTGATTTATCACTAGTCTATAATAGTTTTGGTAAAGGTTCAATCGTCTTTTATTTGCTTCAGGACTGCTTCACTCCCCATACAAGTCTATGAGAATGTAAAAGCAGCCTAAAGCTGATCAAATAAAAAGGTCAGAAGGTTAACTGCACCAATCAATGAATTCTAAAAAATCTCAGACATGTCTCAAACTGATTTCAAAAGAGCACTGCATTTGGCCAATGAAGACTGCAGACCGTTGAACTAAAGTCAAATACAGTAAACTCTCTGGTATCCGGTATTCAACTGACCAGAACTCTCATCTAACCAGAAAGAAAAAATCCAGTGTACTCATTGTTCTGCGGCATGTCTCATCCTGGAAACGATTGTGTGCTTTTTTGTCTTAAGTGTGTCTATTTACTTTTGATTACTGCCTTTCAATATATTACTATGAAGTCAATACAGAGTTAATGTTATGGCATAGTATAATATGGGGTATGGCATTAGTTAGACCTATTTTCATTAGTAACTCTCAAGCAACCAGAAACTACAATTATCTGGAATCTACCAATCCCCGTGGATGCCGGATAACAGGGAGTTTACTGTATTATTACATTGAGGAAGTTGACAGGCGTTTTTTTTTGTTTGTTTTTTAATACTTAACAAATGACATAACATTGATAACTTACCTTATTAAGAATCAGCTTGTTTAAAAATAAAATGAGCCTGTCCCTTTCTACCCTATCGGTGCACTAAAATAAAAAAAATATATATATGAGTGAAGAAAATGCCATTTAAAAGAGAATTTTCTAAAATATCAAGTGATTTACTCTAGCCTTAAAAACAAACAAAACTCACTATACAAATCTACAGTTCTAGGATAAAGCTTTGGCCAGCAGAATGGACCGGTAATTGAGCCTAATGAAGGGCAGTTGGAGGCTGCTGTAGGTAGCTCTAGGTACCTACACGTTATACCTGACAGCATATGTTCCTAAATATTTCAACAGTTTTTTTAGTTTTTAACAATAGTATTCCAGATTGTGGATAGGTAGAGTAATGTACATATTATAAAATCAGATCTACAGTGCTTTTCAACAAGAATTCTGTATCACTGATATGTTGGAGAAAATGTTTGAACAAGATGATGCGTCATCGTTTATGTAACTGAGCAATTACAAACCAACTTTGTGTTCTGGAACACAGTTTGCAGTGTAATTTATAAGTGTTGGCGGTTGGGATGGCGGTATAAATCTTGATTGGGGAAGGAAGAAAAGGGGGGTGTACAAGGACAAAAGGAAGAGAAGAAAAAAGTAAAATAAAGCAGGGGTGGGTGGGTTGGGAAGGTTCAAAATGCACACAATGCATCTGAAGTTTCTTGTTCCACAATAAGGCAACCTGTAATATTATTACAAGTTCTGTCCAGTTCTATAAGACTGGCTTTGAGCCAAGTACAGGAGCAGGGGGAGAAGGATTCCAAGAAAACATGTCTAAAAAGTGAATGCTGTTTACATTATTGTAAAAAAGACAAATTACCCTCTCAAGCATTCCAATGATGTACTTGGTGTCCGGGAAGGGCCCTATTTCATCATGGCATCTGCCATAAACAATGGCCAGGGCTTGTAAACATAAACATTTCATGTTCACTTTAGGAGTGAGGAGAAAACGGTGGTAGAGCTCATTGAAAAATTCATACCTGGAGCAAAACATGCAAAAAACTTTATAAGGACATGTCTGGAATCAGATTATACTACTACCAGATGTATCAAACATGAGGGTACTTACGATTGCTTTATAACACTGTTTTCCTCATTCTCATCTTCTTCCAAAAGCAGTCGTAGATAGTAATCTCCTATTTTTATCTCCTCCGAGAGGCACTCATATTTTACCTTGAGGAAAGGACAAAGTGATTGTACACAAGATCAATATAAGACAATGACAAAAGATGTGTCAATTTGTGCAAATCAGCAATGCAATATCTTCACCACACATACACAATTTTACACAAAGAACACAAAGCACACAACACACATACATTTTCCCAGCACAATGACAGAAGCTTAGTTCAGTCCTCCAGAAGACAAAAGGCCTACATGGTTTGGAACAAAAATGCATTACTGACATAAATAGGTAAACTTAGTGATGTATTTTGCATCTATACTGCAGTCTATTTCTGAGGATGGAATTGCTTGAGGATTAGGGAGACTTTTCTTCAAAGTAGATGTAAAGTGGGGCTGTTTTTTTGCACATGGAAGCTACTTCATCTGGGCATACCAGGTCTGTGCACATGTTTGGCTCAGGGCACAGAAAAAAAAAAGAACATTTGCTGATAGGGAGATCACAAACAGCAATAAAACAACAGCATTTGGTTCTGAAGAAGGAGGCATGGCCTCTGAAACGCATAAACCAGAAAGGACATACAGCCCGTCGGCTGTGGTCTACATATATCAACTGTGGTTTCCGATCAGTCCATCTTTCTCATGCCTGTTAAATTCACTCGTTTGCGAGTATGGTTTTAGCTGCATTTATATTGTTTCATTAAAACGCTTTTACACGATGGAGGCGCTCTCTTTGTCTTATCTAAAACCAAAGTATTAACTCTTCTCAAGTCAATCCAAAACTTTAAGATATGGGCTGGAGTGGAGCTTAAAGAATGTGTTATCGGTTTTGTATATGATATCTTACAAAATGTTATTGAAAATGTTTAATTGTATGTTGATCAGAGGAACAGGGAAATGTATTAGATGCATACAGTACAGGCTCCTATAAACATCAGAGTTCTGCTTTTAATCTTTAAAAAAAAAAATTATATGAAAGAACACTTCTGGATGTGCCTGCTTCTCCCTGCTGAGTGCTGCAGACTTTAGCTTTGCAGTCTGCTGATTGGTTGACTTGGTGAAGGCATATCTAAAAGGGATGTAGGGGATGTGTTTTTACATTAAAGTTGGAAGCGAAATGATTAATGGCAAAGAGAGCTGCGAAACTGCTGTGAAAGGGGGTGCAACGACCGTACAGATGAGGGCGAGTACAACATCAAGTAACACTTTCAAAGTCCCACTTTGCTGGGACTATGGCGAATACCACACTCCACCACCACAGTACCACTTTCAAAGATTTCCGAGCTTTCTGCCACAAGCATAAGATTGAGTCATTATTTCACAGAAAGGGTTGTAGCTCCAAAAGATGTTTCATTTATAATAGCTACTTTAGCATGTGGTTCATCATTTTTTAAATCATTGTGCCTGCTAGGATACATTATCATTTTTGATTAAACTCAACATAAGACAAGTACATGATTACTTGCTTTTTTTAAAAATACATGCGCCTCCCCACCCGACTATCTCAAAAAGCTGTTCAGCAAGTGGGTCACATACCTCAAACTCATGGTGGTTCCAAGAGATTACTGTTGCGCTTCCAAGCTCCCTGTCCACATTAAATGCTCGCATTTCAGCCTCCAGTGAGTCTCTTAACTCTTCTCTTGTTTTATAATTCCAGATCAAATTTGACCTTGCATGATCCTGATGAAATCTAAGAAGTAAATTTGTGATCTCAATACCAATGTCAAATTTACATATCCAACAACCACAACACTATGCAAAAGAACTCCTACTTATCAATGCACTTTTTATCCTCTGTAGTGTAATGTAGGGATGAACCAATACAGATATTAGTATCGGTGCTGATACTGAGTATTTGGGCGAGTACTCGTACTCGCCAAAATTCCTCCCGATGCTTTCCCTGATACCGGAACTTCCGGTATCAGGAAGCCTACTTCATGCTCCCTCTTTACCAGGGAACATGGAGCTGCCTTCACGGCCAATCAGGAAGCCGGGCGGCGAGTCATTTCCTGATTGGCCAGAAAGCCAGCTCCATGCTTCCTTGTCACCTGGATCTGGCTTTATGGCTAATCAGGAAGCCGGGCGGCAAGTCATTACATGCCAACTGGCTTCCTTAATCGGACTTCCATTATCGGTATTCGGCAAGTACCAAAAAAAATTAAAATATTGGTACTCGATACAGAAAAAAAATGGTATCAGTGCATCCCTAGTGTAATGTCTACAGAAAATGATGGAGAATGCTGATCTAACTCATTAGGTATTCTGTACATAAAAAGCTTGCTCCTGCTCATTATGACATCCACAAAATGCTGTGTAAACCATGTGTAAGCTGTGTATGAAGCTGTATGCGGTGTGTAAGCCTGCAATGGTCACCGATGTATGTGCCATGCAGTGGAGCAATTTTATACC